ACATATATACCAAATTGATATTTTAAAGCAACCATCAAAATAAACAGACAATATATGAAAAGGCTAGTTGCCTCCCTAAGCGGACCCCCCGCATCCTAACTCTTTTGTTAATTTACTTAATGTTATTAGGCTGTCTAAATTTTCTTATTTAAGTTCGTTTGATGATTAAAGGGTGTCCACGATGAAATTGCCACACTATGAAATTGCTCTAACTTTTTAACCGTTGGGTAGAATTTAATGAAAATTTGGGTGGATTTAGTTCATAGTCCATTATTTACATCCTGCAAGTTTTAAAGTCCTGTGATCAAAACTGAGTCGAAAGAACAGCTCGTGCGTGATAAAATCTTGCGCATTCATCACGAGAACAAGGATCTCTCGCATCGTTCCATCGCTAAAACGTTGGGAATCCCGAATTCCACGGTGTCGCGAGTGATTAAGCGGTTCGAGGAACGGTTGACCACCGATCGGAAGCCCAGAAGTGAAGGAAAAAGTATTCCGTACGACACCAAAAATCACAACCGCGTAGTTGGGGCCTTCAACCGAAATCCGAACGCCTCCGTTAGGGATGTGGCTAAGAAGCTGCACCTAAGCCGAAGTTTTGTCCAGAAGGCCAAAACTAAGGCTGGGCTTCGAACGTTCAAGGTACAAAAGGCCCCTAATCGCGACGAGAAGCAGAACAAGTCCGCCAAAACCCGTGCCAGGAAGTTGTACCTCAACATGCTGACGAAAGTTGAATGCTGCATCATGGACGACGAAACATATGTGAAGGCCGACTTCAAACAGATCCCCGGCAACCTGTTTTTCACAGCCAAGGATAAGTTCAGCGTTCCGGAGCATGTCCGCACTCAGAAGATGTCCAAATTTGCGAAGAAATTCCTGGTTTGGCAAGCCATCTGCACGTGCGGGAAGCGGAGTGCACCTTTCGTGACCCAGGACACGATGAACGGAAAGGTGTAGATAAAAGAGTGCCTCCAGAAGCGGCTGCTTCCTCTCCTGAAGGCCCACAACGTCCCAACAATCTTCTGGCCGGATTTGGCCTCATGCCACTACTCCAAGGACGTGCTGAAGTGGTATGCGGACAATAAGGTCAATTTCGTGCCGAAAATGTTCAACCCTCCCAACACTCCGGAGCTCCGCCCCATCGAGAAGTACTGGGCGATTATGAAGCAGCACCTTCTTAAACGACCTAAGGTAGTGAAGACAGTCGAGGAACTGAAGAAAGTATGGGTTTACATGCAAAAAACGGTTGATTCACAGGTTGTGCAGAATCTTATGGCCGGGGTTAAGGCCAAGGTGCGGGCATTTGCGTATGGACTGTAAATAAAATACGAGTAAAATGGTAAAATGAAGTTTAATAGTTATTTCTCAATCCCTGAAAATTTGATGGCAATCGGATGAAAACTCGAATTTTGCGAATCAATTTTGTGTGTGGCAATTTCATCGTGGACACCCTTTATGATATCTCATTAGTCTAGTTTAATAAATAATTGAAATCTCTAATTTAGCTAATCAATCATAACCCATGCTTTATCAAGTACCTAAACTGCTATGTAATCTAAAATTTAACGTGTTTTAAGTAATTTCGACTTTGATCTATATTTATTATATCTTAGATCGACCCAGGTGACACCTTCAAGTGACTAAAATGCTTCACTTTGAAATTAGTTTCCTAGCTGATTTTTAAATTATATAAGGTATATGCTCCAACTACACTCACACGTTTCCACTATGTCGTCCCACAAAATTACGTATGGATATGTCACAATAGAAGCACGCCACAGTGGAAATCCCGAGCCATAGTTCAAACACTTATCCCAAACCAAAATGAAGCATATATAAGATTAGTTACATATATGGTGTTTAATATTGTTCCCTGAGTAATGCTTCAATGAAAACAACAATGAAAGCTTGTCACGCAAATAGAAGGAGCTCCGTTGGGCACTTTCTGAAATATTTCATATAATTCCTTTGCAAACCCAAATAAATCTATCTGCGTAAAAACCCGCCAGTATCGCACCCAACGTCAGTGCCTATACGTAAGCGTACTACAACGCGGCTTTCAAATAAAGGAGTAACAAGTGTGATACTATCACTTCAGGCTAGAACTTTGGTTCTCTTATACAATGGTTTAGCAGAGAGGGGAAGCTTAGTAATCCTCATCGCATGCTCATGACGCTATTTTGTCACGGCATGAGCCAACGATGCCGGACCTAAACCAACCGTCTCCAACGCTCCACTATGAAGCATAAGATTAGGCCCGCCCACCAACGTCCAGGTTAAAAACTACAGGGCTGTTACAAAATTTTCTAAATTTGATCTGCGAAATCCGCAATTTCTCAAAAGAAATCTGCGACTTCAAATACTAATCCGCGACAAAAAAAAACTGTTTTCATTGCCTAAAAATACCATTTGTATACTACTACATGGCATTTCAAGCTTATTGCTTATTGCATATTAGATTTTTGCCTGCTCTCAACTTAGTGTTCTTTGAAGTACTTTCACATTTTAATTGAGTGATTTTTTTTGCCTGTATCATCCTATCCTCAATTTTCTAATTATTAGACTGGACGGGAATCGAACTCAGTCGCCTTCAGCATGGACCTGCTTTGTAGCTGCAGCTTTACCGACTGAGCTAAAGGAGTATCGTTTGTAAACTTTAAAAAAAAATTAAAAAATGACAATGTATCATCTTCAGTTATTTATGTATAGTATAAATTCTGAGTAATTAGTGAACATAATAAAACACCCTTACATTATGAGACTCTTTGAATAATACCGGCCTAGATTTGATGAAACATTATTTAAAAGAATTAATGCATTTTCATTAAAAATGCAAATTTTCTTGAAAGTTAACCTCTTCGTCTCTGACGTATTTTGATGTCCTAAATGTTGTAGTTAATTTGGCTCTAGTTTTCTCAAGTTTTGATCGATTCAAACCACACACCCTGCACATAATCGAGAAATTACCAGAGTTTCATAAGTCACACTTATTGGTCACGTCGCGGTTCTGTATTTACACGGATACTCCTTGGGGTCTGAAGAATCGTATACATGTGACTCTGTGGATCATGCACGACTTATTACAATGTATACCGGAAATTATAGGTTTTCCAAATCGTCCAGGACATCAGTTGATTTGTTCTACTAAATCAACCAAGACTGCAATAATGTCTGTAGTATCAAAATATGTCGAATCAGGTTCAAAGTGTCTATGTGGATCACGCATGATCTATTTCCGAGTAATCCAGATGTTGTAGGTTCTTCAAATCATCCTGGAGTTCAGATATTTTGATCTACTAGATCAACCGAGATTGGGACAATGTCTTTAGTATCGAAATATTTCCAGACAAATGCACAGTGTCTATGTGGATCATGCATGACCTATTGCCATGTATAACAGATGTTTTAAGTTCTCCAAATCGTTCTGGAGTTCAGATGATTTATTCTACTAGATCAACCATAACTGGGATAAAGTCTGTAGTATCGAAATATGTCCAAACAGATTCATAGTCTCTATATGGATAATGTTTAATTATTTCCACGTATACCAGATGATCTAGGTTCTCCAAATCGTCCTACAGCTCAGATGATTTGTTTTAATAGATCAAAAAAGACTATGATACTATCTGTAGTATCGAAATATCGATTTGGAAATCCTCGAACATTTGGCATACACGGAAATAGGTTGGCATGATTAACATAGACACCGCAATCCCGCCCAGGCATATCTCGATACTACAGACATTTAATTAGTCCTGGGTGATCTAGTAGAAAAACAATATGATCTCCAGAACGACCCCAGAACCCAGAACATCCCGCATACGTAGCAATAGGTCGGGTAAAATCCACATAGACACTTTGAATCTGTTTGGAGTCTTGGTTGTTACAGCAGAACAAATCAACTGAACTCCAGGACGACCTGGAGAACCCAGAATATCCGGTATACATGACAATTACTCGCATATATACGATTCGTTTATGATGTGACAACGAAGTTCTAAGTTCATATTGGAAAAAAGGAAAATGTCTCACATTGGACAGACCTCATGGAATTTCCATGTAAATCCGGTGTGACTTGAGATTATTTCTCGATTATTTGCAGGGTGTTTGGATTGAGCCGGTAAAAAATTGAGAACCAAATGAACAACAAAATTGATGACAGCAAAATAATCCGGGACGGAAAGGTTACATTGAATTCCACAATTTTTGTGACAGCATATCAGTCCCTTCGCGATTTTCGCGACATCATTTAATGTTTCCGCGATTTTCGCGACTGAAAGTTCAAATTCGCGACAAATCCGCGAAAATCGCGAAATTCGCGAAATCCGCGCCTGTTGTAACAGCCCTGAAACTAGCCAAGGGAAGAGTAGTATTCCCACAGCAAATTCTTCATACGTGCAAAAATTTCGTAAATAGTTTGACATGGAATCGTCCCCACAATTTTCATATCAATCTAGGGAAATTTGATTTCAAAATCATAGCAATCAAAAGTTTGGTTCATTCAACACCAGATATTAAAGTACTAAGCAACGTGATGACGTTATTGAAGAAATATATTTGATACACTGCACTGCGGTAGATATTTTCGAAACGAAAGACACAAAGTCCACTAAACGCACCCCACCCATAAAGCCCGTGTAGCTTTGGTGAATGTTCACCGCCCAATCAATCATCGGCAGTGTAGCTGCCTTCTTGTTCGCTAGTATGCGTGTGTTTGCAGTGCACTCTTGCGCGTACAGCCCGATGTCGGATGTATTTGTTTGTTGACGATGTTTTCCTCTGCACACATTATTGCTTTTATTTTTTTGTATTTCTACATATGGAGTATGTGCAGAGAATATCTCTATCTAGCCGCAGATGCGACACCCTCGTCATAGCAGTCAATATTTCATCAACATCGAATAATTTAGTAACAACAACCTAAACTTATGGGTCTGATGGTGTTGGAGAAACACTGTTACACTGTCTCTTATTTTTCTTCAATAAAAAGCGGAACTCACCCTAATTGAACTCCCGTTCTCCAGCAGCACTCTTCCATTGAGAGTTCTCGATTGTATTCCCGATTGAATTAATCCACCAACACACCAGATTGTGAAGTAAGACGAGAAGGAACGATGATGATGAAGAGAAAACAACACTATCACAAACACTTTTGCTGCTATTTTGCTCGGCTATGTTGTTGATGGTGATGACGATGTAGATGATAATTGATGGGCCACTGATTGAGTATGCGATTCACCACACTACTGGTTGCGTCTTCCGGGAGTGCAAAATTCCCTCGGACGGTCGCAGGATTTCCGCTTCTTTCTTCTTCCCGAACAAACAACTGTGCACTTCTCTACCCTCACAGACACGCGCTATCAGTAGCGATCCTCAATGCGTGACTTCCCGGAACGTATTCACTTATCAGAATGCAATCCATTCACCTTTCATATGAAATTCTGCTGCCAGCTTTCTTCCACAATATTAAATTCAGCTTCTCCTGAACCGGTCGGCGATGTGTTGTTTATCACTTGTCGTCACACAAACACTCCTGTACTCCGAACAAAACCATTCGAATCTCTTCACTTTGACGTTGCTCTTCTCTAACTCCACTTTTGTTCTTCTGCCATTCGACGAAGGGACTTTTTGGCTTCCACCAGTTTCGAACTCGTTTCCATCCAACTCCTATAAGCGGTGAATTTTATTAAAACATAGGGAAATTAATTCACTAATATTATAAACGAAAAGAAACGGAGAATGTAGAATATTAAACGCAATCAAATACACATAAATCCAAGGTTAAACCGGCGCTTCTGTATTAGCAGAGCAGAGCAGAGAGCAGTGCTGCCTATGGGCCTGTCTTGTTGACTGCCTGCCTTTGGTTTGCTTGCACGGTGTGCCACCACCGTCGACGTTGCTGATCCAGTCGAGCAAATGGGAGGAAAAGAGAAAGAGCTCACGGTAATAAGAAGGCGAGGAGCAGCAGCGAAGAAACGGCCGAGAATGAAAGCAAAAAAAATACGAAATAAAATTTATTCTTCATTGGTTCTTTACACCCATCCGTGCGGAACGTAGAAGCGGGCGGACGGGTGGCCACTATGCACTACACAGGCACTAGAGACACATATCACATCCTACAAAACACCACTAGGAAATACGCAGTGGGCTGAAGATGGAAGGAGAATCCGGGTTGGGAACAGTGAGTGGCTGTGCTACGAAAAATAAAACGAGTTGCAAGAATCGTGCAATGCTATGTACACAGACAAACAGAAGTAAAACACTTCATTGTGTATCTTCGTTTACGCATTTAACGGTTGATTTGAATATTATCAGTTCCGCGAACTACTCGTCGCAGCGCTCGCATCGGATCACAATGACATTTCTATACATTCTATAGAAGTTTTATGCAATATTGTTTGCGAGTTAGCGAGCAAGCTTGTTTTCCGCGAGAAGCCCGAGAGATGTCGTTACTGTTTTCAAGAACAACTTTTTCAAAGAGTTACGTCTGTTTGTCTGTGCTATGTATGTACATCGAAAGTTGCCAGAAATAAGGATCTGTCGTTGACGCAACCTTCCCTAGCACAGACGTCTAAGTCAAAGTAAAAGACTATTTGATTAGATTGGCTTTTTTCGGCGACGTTTTAAAGTAAAGGAGTCAGGTGGGGAAATCGTACGTGTGAACGCTTGTATGAAAAAGTCCATTCGCCTTGGTCCCAGATTTCTTTATGACGATTGCGTTATTGCTTTCAAAACCGATTAACGACTCATTTCAGATGTTTACTGCGTCACGGCGGTATCTAGAGTGAGCACGCAAACGTCATTGATAAGTCTGACTTTATTATTTCGAATTTGATTTTTTGTGTTAAGCAAACCCCACACGTATTAATATATTGACGCGAAGGGGAATTATTGACATTAATATTGATGATGTGAATACAGAAATATTGTCAATACCGATGTATTGACGTCAATATTGAATGTATTGACAATACGATTATTGTCAATAAAAGCAATCGTGTACGGTCTACATTAGAAAAGTTCGCTTCAACGATCGACATAGATCAGCGTTGCCAGATTGTTTTCAAACTTATCGGTATCAAAGGTTTAAAAAATCAGTATTTACTAAAAAAAATCTATTTTTGCCATTTTCGAAGGCAAAAATTTCACCTTTGGGAGTCAAGTATTAATATTTTGTGGAAGTTTTTCGAAAGAAAGTGGCAGAAGCATCAGACCTTGATTACTGTGCTGAGGATTTGACTGGTAATTATACTTGATATGAATGTAGTTGTATTGCGATTCTAACATATGCTGTTAAGGTGAAGGGATGAGGAAGCCCTGAGCCAAAACACGTCGCTGTGTTTAACACGAACACTACTTTACGTAATCGAGTCAAATTGTTGTTATCGTTTGCATTCGTGTAAATAAACTGCGTTGGACAAGTTCGCGATATTTCACGAAGTTCACCAAATTTTGGTTAACTTTTCGAACACTACTCTTAATTAAGAGATTTCTTCAATAAAAACACTTTGTAGTCAATGCATAATCAATAAAACACTTTGAAGTCAATGCATCCAACATAACAGCATGCATTCATCGTCATCCGTGAAAGCCTTATTCACGCCGAGCTGTGCTATGGATTTCCATAAAACTGGACTAACTGCTCAATTCTACAGGCCACAGGAATTGTGTATGAAAAGGCAAAACACGCGAATATTCAATGTGACCCTATTCACTCATTAATGCATTCCCTTATAAACGGGTACCATACACAAACGATATCACAGATGGTGCGATCATACCACATGTAGTTGAGATAATATTGGTGGTTAGGTGCTTCTTATGATTATTATTTATGCGGGTTGGCATTAGCCAAACCTTCACTACTTTGCCACGATATTTTCGACGATATGCACAACTGAACGACTATTTGCAATGTACATCGTCATTATTTCAGCACGTTGTTTCGGTGTGAAGTGATTCATGGTCAGTGTTGGAAAAGTTCACGATATTTCACGAAGTTCACCAAGGGAAAAGTTCGCGAGTCATAGTGAGTTTTCGCGAACTTTTCCATCACTGTTCATGGTTATAATTGTACTGAATTGACGTTTCCAAAACTTTTCTACTCAAGTCAATCGGATGACAAGTGTCGAAGTTATTCAATGTTGGACCCTGTTTGTAAGAACGAGGATCAGACATTCTGGTTGTATCCCTCCAGAATTCGACCGGATGTAGCAACTGAAGCTCTATCGGCTATAGTCAAAGCCAATCTCAAAGTCGACAGTAATCCTGCTGTGGTTAAACTGATCCCGAAAGACAAGGACATTACTACCATTTCATCTGTGTCCTTCAAAGATGGTCTTGATCCATCGTTGAAATCGAAGCTTGGCTTGTGTTGAAGATTACGGGAATTTTGAAGATTACGGATCCAAACATTTCGAGTTCCTTTGATATGCCGGAAACCGAAAACACCGTTGCTTCCAGCTTAAACTTCTTCTACTACCACTCCTGTAATGGACTTAACCTTCCCGGGACGCACCAGTTTGATCATTTCGGAAGCCCTTGATCCCCCCGTCACCGTCGTGCCAATCCGTCGCATCTCGAAGAGTAGCGAAGCGTGTTTCAGATCGCATGTTTTCGGTGTACTACCAGAATGTCAAGGGTTTGCGTTTGCTGTTGGTTCCGGGCAGATATTGATAGCAGTGAAATTTCGTCTGATTACGTTTTCTTCCGTTGTGATCGCTCATCATTGACGGGAATCTAATTCGATGACTAACCGTGATGAAACATGAACAATTGTTATCTACCTCCTACCTAATTCGGGTACCGAGTTATATATTGCGCATGCAAGGGCAATACAACTAGTTGCAGATCGTTTTTAGGAGTCCGACGTAATTTGGTCGATCGGCGACTTCAATCTTCCTGATTTTCGATGGCATCTGGACGAGGACATTAATGGATTCATTCCTTCAAATGTCTCTACTGATACTGAGCTTAAATTTACAGATGTAATATTTTCCAACGACTTGAGGCGATTAATAGCTTCGTCAACACAAACGGCAGACTCCTGAACCTGGTATTTACCAATCTACTAGAGTATCTTGACCTGCTTGCACTATCTTCTCCGCTGTTACCTGGTGATAACCATTACACACCAGCCATTTCACTGCTTGACGAGAGTAACGCACCAACATTACTTGACGATCAAGATAAAGGTTTTAAAATTTGACTATTTGGCATGCGATTTTGAGTTGTTAAACTCTATTTTTGTGGACTTTGAGTGGGAACCAATTATAACCATGATTATCGAAAAATAGTACTGTAGACGAAATGCTATCAGCTTTTTACAAATCTCTATTAGAAATTATCGACTGCCATCGATATCTCGAAAAGAACAAGCATTGATCTTTGTGTTTAACAAATCGTGGTGGACTTCCGAGTTGCGTAATAATCTACGTAAGATGCGCAACCGATATTTCTTTGCGAAAAACGAGTCCGACAAAGCTAGACTTCACGAACTTGAGTTGGAGTCCTAAGTCATTTTTTCTAAAACACATGCAAAATATTGACACAGACGAAGTTCAGAAAGCCCTCGAAGATCTCGATTCAATGAAAGGACCCGGAACATACAGCCTGCCTTATGTGTGTGCAGCTACGCTTGCGACGCCCATCGCTGCTGTTTTCAACCGCTCGCTCCAAGACATAACGTTCTCAATTACGTAGAAAAAGGCGTACATAGTCTGGAAGTTACAATTGTGTTGGAAATTATCGAGGTGTATCCATACTGTACAGTCTCAGTAAGGTATTTGAGAATCTGTTCCACACAGTGTTGTACAGCGCAGTTTTATGAAGCATCGTTCAACAACATCGAACCTAATGTGTGTTATGTATCAACGATATCATGTGATTTAGAATCAAAGCAGCAAGTGTTGATTTTGCGAAAGCTTTTGATACAGTACCACACACTCTCATAGTTGAAAATGGATCACGAAATGGCTCTACCCGTAATAGTCTGCTGAATGCCGTGCCTTCCAGGACTTTCAACATACCATATGGCGTGCCACAAGGCAATGTTCTCGGTCCTCTTATTTTTATGTGTGAGCTGCTCTCTTCATCCAGACGACTTTCTTTTGTCGATGATGCAATACAGAATTGGACGTAACTGATACGTGGGTTCAGCCGTTTATCCGATCCCACTATGGTTCCGAAAAGTTTTGTGCCAGCTGTCACTATAGCCTAGAGGTTCTTCAATGGTACTTGAACAACAAAGTTGATTTTTTGGTCAAACATGGTTCTCCGACCCGACCAATCGATAAATGTTGGATGTTAAGTGAAAGTTGAAGGCAATCTGTACAATTAATGCTAAAAACTAGGTAAGTATATTGAAGTTGTGGAAAAATATGAAAGTTGGTGCAAAGAAAAAGTTCACACATTCTACAGAAACGCTACTCAATTATCTTCACGTTATTATTGCGGTTTCTATTGATATTTAGATTTTCTCGACAAAATGTGGAAGCTGCCAAAATCTTCTTTGGCTTTTGGAACCCTTACCATTTCAGTTTTTCTTTGAAGTTTTCGTGCGCAAAAACAATCACCAGCTGGTTTTGTTATGTAAACATGATCAGCTGGAAGCTTGAGTGTTCTCAAGGGGTTAAAAGTAAACATCACTAGAAATGTCATTGAAACCAAGCGTTCTAAGTATTCCAAGGTGGGAAAGGTAAGAGCGAAATGGAAAGCGAAATATGAGATCGGCGAAACTAAACTCACAAAGAGTCTAAATGGAGAAATTTTTTATAATAAAATGTTGTTCAAAACCCCTCAATTTTATGCTTTAGGTTTTCTTCACCTTCATGCAAACCCAAGAATGCAAACCAATTAAAACCCACAATTAATCTCTCTCCGCCCACAGGCAAAAAGCATTGATTTAACAAAAAAAAAAAAAAAAAACTAAAATTAAGTCCCATTCCTAAAGGAAACGCAAGGACCAGGTCAACAATGCAGGAAATATATAAAACACCGACGTCAGCTTCCACATCTTTCCCATCACAATCGAATCGCCTATATTGCCTTAGTGTAAAACTCCCACTTCCCACCCGAGTGAATCCGATATTGCGGGGATCAGATTCCTCTTTCAGGAAGGTTCCAGCAAGAAAGGATGGAACCATCAGTCCTTGCATGTTCAGTTTTGCTAGAAAATTCACCTTCTTAAAATGCTTTCGCCCTGTCCATCACCATCGACCGTCCCCCAGCGCGGATAAGGCCGGGCCTTCGCTGAAGTGCAAGTAGCAACGCAGCAACGAGAACTCCTACTCATCGCCAACCGACCGTCCACCGTGTCATCATCATCAGCGGGCAAGGACCGGTCGGAGCTGGCTGGCTGGCTGGCCTGCTGTCGGACGACAACGACGACACAAAAATCGCAAAAGAACAGGAATAGTGGCATTCCGTTTCATTCTTTCTCTTTCCTGCTATGGTAGCTCGTCGCCGTTTTTGGTCGCTCCGATCCGCTGTCTACCAACCACCAGCAGCACCGGACCAGACCAGACCAAAGCAGAAGCAGCAGCAGCAGTACACGGTAAGAAAAAAACAACCCAAAAGTAAGTTCTTTTCACTCACCTCGGCACTAAAGTGCAGGAAGTCAAAAATAGGTAAAGGCGGTCAAAGTAGTTTTCATTTACTTGTGTGCAATTCGTATGGAATTTTCTACTCGCTTTCGACCCAAAACTAAGTTAGTTGTACTTAAAAGTGGGTGAATATGATTATACTCAACGTTGGGTTTCCACACTTTAGTTGGATGGTTTTGCTTTTCCGTTTTTAACAACATTAGAAGGAGAAAAGGAGACAAACAAGTCAAAAATAAGTATAAGTAAACTGGCCGCTCGGTACTTTTTTCTTACCGTGTAGTTTAGAGCGAGCTTATTGAATCAGTGAGGGTGAGAAGGCGGGCAGGAAGGGTGTCAGAAGGGACACGTACCAGCAGCAGTGGTGCCATATGTAGGTGAAGTGTGCACTGCAGTCGGATTAAGAAGGTTTGTAAATCGAATTCCCTGTAAGGTTTTGCACCTAGGGGCGTCTCACTTTTAGAATGCCCATTGAATATGCATTTAATTTCTATCGTTTGAATCAACCAATCGGTGGGTTCCTTTTTTTTCTTTTTCGCATTTCAAGCTTATTGCTTATCGCATATTAACATATTGCGTGCTCTCAACTTAGTGTTCTAGATAGACTTCCATAGTTTTTAATTGAGAGCTTTTGAGGCTTGTAAAATTTTTGCATTAGTATAACTGTGTGGCAAGTACAATCATACTCTATGCCCAGAGAAGTCGAGAAATTTTCCAACCCGAAAAAGTCCTAAACCAGACTGGCCCCGTCACCTCCAGTATGGTCTTGCTTTGTAGCTGTGCCTTTAGCGACTGAGATAAGGGAGACCCCTGTACCTATACAATTCACATCCCGAGCAAAGGATTATACCAAATTGGGTTGTTTAGGGGTATTGAGGTGAATACATATTCGTTATCTGCATTAAAAATGGAACCGAAATCCAAAATTTCATCAATTTTGGTACACTGGAACTATTGTAAATAAGTACGAATACACTAGCAAAAATCACCATCTTAGCGCCCCTTGGAGGGACTTTGTATGGGAGCGAGCTGTCGAGGAATAGATTTAGTGTCAACGATCAACAATTTAAATCTTGATTTAAAAATCGAGATGAATGTCTACGGGATCGATAAAAATATCGTTGTGCTCAGAAAACGAAGCTCTATCAGATGATGTATAAAAATCGGTATGTTTTTCTAAGTTAAACAACCCAATCGATAGCAAGTTCTGATACCCGGCTGTCAAGATTTGATAACAGAACATTATATCATTGTGGTTGAATAAACAGTCTATGAAAAGAGCTCTCTTGTTGAGCTCTAATAGCTTTTTGGTAATAGTTGCATTTGAGATTATACATATTTTTGACTGGTTACACACTGAGACAAAATAACGTAAGAATTCCATAAGAACCACTTATGAATTTTAGCCATAAGAAACCGGTATGAATTTCATGGATTTGCATTATGAAAAATAATGTTGACATAAAAATTATAAATCGGTGCAGACTGGAATCGAACCACGGTCGGTGGGATTACAGGGCCCGTGTGTTGACCATTCATCTTTCAACGCTTGGGAAAGTGAAATGTTCTAAGGCGTATAAGTGTTACCTGGTGTTAGACGAAATCATTCTAAATCACGCGTATGAAATTCATATGTGCCGGTCATAAGTCGAGCTTTATGCACTTTCTGACGGCCAACCAATTGGTCATTACCTTTTGCGTTCAAGTTATATTTTTAATCCAGAGAATCCTAGTCCAAGAAAATTGTTCAAGATGATGGAGCTGGAAATTTCTGAGATATGTAACAGTAAGATAGGCTATAACATTTTACAGGGTGATTTGTGAGAGCTCAAATTTAGAGAAATTTTTGTAAATTCAATTTGCTAGATGCTGTTTTATTAAAGGATTTCAAGAATCTAAAATCACAAAAATATGCAAAATGCCGGACATCGGACAACAAATTGCGAAGAGATTTCGAAGTTCACCAAGAAATCACGTGCCGTAGGCTTTAAAATTATTTAGGATTCTCACTGGAATCATTTAAGAAAATACAACATTCTGTCTACAGAGTTAGGACATCTTTAGCGGCGGTCCAACCAACAATCAATACGAAACTAACGATTTTAAATTGGCTCACTACTTGACTAGCCTATTGGTCCCAAGAAAACGATTAACGTACCCCATTCTAGTCGAAATTCTAGTACTACGCAATGTTTGTTTTGATTCGCTATGAAAGTTTGACAGATAAAATGAGGGGTTATTGGTTTTTCCTATGTTTCAAGGGGTGAATCGATAAGCTTGGGACCGAAGAGAGTACCAGAGCTGAGCCAAAAAGTTGAGCACGTTATTTCGGGACCTTCTAGTCTTAGAGTTACCTCTATGGTCCAACCATAGAGGTAACTCTAAGACCAGAAGGTCCCGAAGAAACGTGCTCAACTTTTTGGCTCAGCTCTGGTACTCTCTTCGGTCCCAAGCTAATCGATGCACCCCTCGGAACATAGGAAAATCCACGAACCCCTCATTTTATCTGTCAAACTTTCATAGCGAATCAAAACAAACATTGTGTAGTACTAGAATTTCGACTAGAATGGGGTACGTTAATCGACCAATAGGCTAGTCAAGTAGTGAGCCAATTTAAAATCGTTATCCATCGGTTGCTATCTTTGACCTAATATTTTTGTGCCACAAATCCGGCATCACTGCCTTTGAAGGGAGTGATTCTGCCTGTTTTTTTCCGTTCTTTCCTTCCCTCAAGACAGTTTTCCATCCTGCTCACCCGCCTGCCCGTCTCTAAAAACTTTTGGACGGAGCCCTAGTTGCGTGTCTCGAACCTATACCCCATCATCCGGATGAATCCATCGGGAGTAATGCTGCTTCCGAATACGAATAACACTGTCTGCCGCTATTCACTTGCCGGATTCCCCCGAAATGTTTCCCCACGCGACAGCAGACACGGTTCATCTCACGAAATAAAAATCATCACTTCCACAATCGAAGAGAAATTTTCCAACATTTTCGACAAAAAAAAAGAAGCTCCATCTCTTTTCCTCGCTCACTCATCGGGCGGCACACCAGGCAAGCAAAAAATCTTCACTTTTTTTTCGGCTCTGTTAGCAGGATTTTCTTCCTTTCCACATTGCACACACACTTTTTTCGCTTGTTCAAACTTTCTTCCTCGCTTCGGCACCGAGATATTGGTGGTGAGGAATGCTAGAAAAATCTGCCAGCGTCTGTTCCGAGCACCAGTTTCCAGAGCATCTGCTTCTTTCTCCCGCTAGAATCTGTACACTCCCTCTATCAGCACCCGCACCAGAATCCGTTTCAGGAATAATCCCAAATCCTCGTTGGACGGATCTTATCCAGCCTCTTCCACTGCAGAACCAACTAACCCAAATTCAATAGCACAGACGAAGGAATTAGTTTTAACAACTCGGACACTGTAGCACTTTTAACTCTCGACTCGAATGAAGAAATTGCTTGCAAGCGACTGAGCCACGGTTTAAAATGGAACTGAATCGACAAACACTGAGTGCGGCGGCGGCAGCGGAGTGAACGGCTCGCTTTTTTGCTTCCTTTCCTCTTTTTTCAACTGCGTACTGACTGCGCTGAGGGAAAAAACGACAACGAAACGGACGAATGCTTCTTGCGCGAGCGAAGGCGTGTTTTGAACTGTCATCGACCGTCGCGAGCAGAGCGCATCAGAAACTGACAACTGGCAACTGACACTGACAGTTTGGCTGCGCGAATTCAAGAAGCGTTAGTGGATGTCATATTTTGATAATCGTGTGTTCGTTGCAAAATTTTCACGGCAAAACAAAATAATCTAACGCTTGAGTTGTTAACTCGGTTGTTAAGCTTACCGGTCAAAACATGATCCGAGCAAAAAAGTAGTACTCGTAACAATGGCATATAATGCTGAATTCTATCGTGCTTTGTTTCGAAAATATCTTCCAAATAAACAAACATCATCCAAAACTCCCGATTCGTCCACCGACTAAATCTATTGCCACATAAAAATTAATTTCAGTCGGTGTATTAATCAGCAGATTAAATCGTTTTTCGTCTGGTGCTACACCGAGCAAACGGCCTATTTAATAGTTTTTCGTCGATCGATTTAGTCGGCCAACTTTGTCTGCTGTTTAACCGGCAGATGATTTCAAACCTTAACATGTTTTCAGTAATTTATATGTCTTGAAGTAGCTTTTTATTTAAGAACAATGCATAGTTTTATGCATTTTGTACAAGATTTTCTTATTTCATGAAACTAACCAATTTGGCAAACAATCAATGAAATTGTCAAGGGCTGTCAAAGACTTATCACCGTCGGTTAGTGCTTATTCCTGTCACCAGGCGCGCAGGAGTTTAAGTTGGATTTCTCAATAGAAAATGCAAAAAATGCACGGTGTGGATAAATAATGTATTTGATTAATAATACATAATATGAATAGCATAAACTGCGACATAACTTTATACGAAATCCGAATAATTCGATTCTCCAATCGACCTTTCGCGCATGGATCTGGAAAATATAGTATTGTCGCGCTTATGTTAAATTCTCATTTGGTTACGGTCGAAGCGTGCCCCTCATAAGCGCGATGCAACCCCGCTCATAAGGATTATACACAGGTGTGTAACTTTGATAGTATTTTATGGCAGCGGCTTGATTAGTGAATCCTGGATAAAGAGCCGCCGTGTGTTAAATCAATGGGCGCAGTCGTACGGCCATAAACAGAAAATAGATGGTATAATCAACAATCAATACGAACTAACGATTTTAAATTGGCTCACTACTTGACTAGCCTATTGGTCCCAAGCAAATCGATTAATGTACCCCATTCTAATATAAATTCCAGTACTACACTATGTTTGTTTTGATTCGCTATGAAAGTTTGACAGATACAATGAGGGGTTCGTGGATTTTCCTATGTTTCGAGGGGTGCATCGATTAGCTTGGGACCGAAGATAGTACCAACCGGTGAACACTCGTGTTTATTTCAGTTACCTTGGGGACGTAATTTAAGATTAGCCTCGGTCCCTTTCAAATCGTACCATTATTTATGTACGGTCCTTATATTTTAAATGACGTTTCACATTCATCTAGTGATGGCCGATTTTCATTCGAATAATCGATTAATCGATTAACGAACCGAAAAGTAAAATATTTGTAATCGGTTATATCATGCCGTTATAAGCATTAACATCTCCAGAGGATCAGCACCGATCGTTTCAAACATGTGCTGAACTCTCATTGGTGGAAAAATGGCAGCATAGCGAACAAAAAATAATCGATTAGTTGTTAATCGACTAATTAAACAATGGGACATCTCTGATTTTGGTGTGATTGTTTTGAAAAAAATGAGCGCAAAATTTCATCTCTACCGAGGGGGCAGTAAAACCACAAAATTACCTTGAATACAGGAGGTATTCATTGGATGAAAGGGACAGTGAAAGAGGACACTAAAATAGAAAGTTTTTCTTCCGACAGTTTCATCTTAGTATTCATCTTTGATAGTACCAAAGAAGAATACTAAGATGAAACAGTCGGAAGAAAAACTTTTTATTTTAGTGTCCTCTTTCACGGTCCCTTTTATCCAATGAATACCCCCCGTATGCAAGGTAATTTGGTGGTTTTGCTGGCCACTCAGCAGAGATGAAATTTTGCGCTCTTTTTTATCAAAACAATCACACCAAAATCGGAGATGTCCCATTTGGTTAATTATTCGATTAACAACTAATCGATTATTTTTTGTTCGCTGTGCTGTCATTTTTCCACCAATGAGAGTGCAGCATATATTTTAAACGACAATCGGCCATCACTAGATGAATGTGAAACGTCATTTCAAATTTAGGGCCGTAATTAAATTCTCCGTAATAATGATACAATTTGAAAGGGACCGGGGCTAATCACAAATTACGTCCGAACGGTAACTGAAATAAACCCGAGTGCGGACCGGTTGATAGTACCAGAGCTGAGCCAAAAAGTTGAGCTCGTTTCTTCGGGACCTTTTGGTCTTAGAGTTACCTCTATGGTATAATCGCTTTTTGAGAAATTATCCTGCCACACACAATAAATATTGTATCTGAAACTGATTATTCGTCATTGCAGGCTAATTGGGAATGTTACCGTAAATTTCCTGCCGTTGTCTCTCCTGCTGCTCCTTCTGAATAGCATCAACGGCTGTCGATTCGAATATTCAGATCTATTGAAGAATTGATGATAATCTGGATGATAATTATATGAACTGTTAATTAACTTTAATATTTACGTAGCTAATACGACATCCTTCATCGGTTCAGTCAAACATTTCTGATTTTTTACGTAGAACTACGTCTTTGTCGACTATACTGGGGTGCAAATCAAAAAATATGTGTGGTGAAGGAGTGTTAGGTTTTGAACGCTTGTAACTTTGGCATTTATAGATGAAATTAAAATCTAAATACGCCAATCGATAGGATATTACATTACAAACCTGCTGAAATAAACATTTTTGTTTTTCCTATTTTGCTTTAATTAAACTTTTGAAAATGTACAAATGATAATTTTATCACTGTTTTCATGAAATAAGCCTTTTTCCCAAACCCAGTCATCATAAACGAATACCACTTGGTTGCACATCATTCTGCTTGAACCTGAAAAGATATAAATCAGCGCTGCTCTCCTGCCTTTGCTCATTACCGCTTCGGACGGCGTCACACTAGGTCCTGCAGCAGGCAGGAACAAGTCAGCCGCCAAAGGTGGATCACGGCGTGTCCACCACAATGAGGAATGAGACTTGAAAAAACGTGCATGTAAAACCCCCTCCCCCTAAACAACCTCGCCCCTCCCCCTTTAACATAACCCGAAAAAGACATGGACTTTGACGATCACTTTTTTCCGGGAAATAAATTTTATACAAACCACAATTATTAGTAAAAACAGAAGTTTTTCCCTTAATTTCTTACCACACCAAAACTTTCAAATTTGAGATAAAATTTGCTTGAAAGACATATTCGATGATATTTATTAAGTTGATGAATTACACACAACTGACGGTAAAACAAATACTGCTATAGAGCTTTTTGACGTTAGATCGGCGCACACTACTGCACCATTTAAATCGAACGAGTGCGAGCAAGAGGGAAACAGATTAGTGGGAAAACAAACCGTCCATTCATCCATGTGTACTAGATAGAGAAAGACAATTAAACGTCAAAAAGGTCTATATATCCAATTATATTAACATCACAAGTCCATCCTATTTTACATATTCTGCACAAAAGGAACGTTCTGTCCAACCCCCATTCATAATAAAATGGCGGGAAACCTGTCCGTTGCAGGGCTTAGAAAGTAAGTTTTGTGCAGAATATGTAAAAAAGGAGGGACATCGAATGAATTTTTTCTGCAAAATATGTAAAAAAGGAGGGATGTCGGATACTAACCTAAATGCATATATCATGCTTCATAGATAGCGATAGATGGATAGGTTCAACGTCATACTGCGGTTGTGTCTAGGACACAACCCTTTAATTTTTTTAGAGCAGTTGTTCGTAAAAAGTAATCTTTAATATTCATAGATTTTGGTCATAGATCATGACTTATGCATTTCAATAGAATTTCATTTGATTACTTTGTGTACCTTTATAAATGCAATGTGAATAAAATAATGAATGATATATAGTATTCGATAATTATAAGCATTAATTATCACTTATGAACTAAATAATTAATTATATGATTTGAGTAGTAGCTATTCTGAAGATCCGAGAGATGTCGCCCCTTCAGTGGTAGGAAAATCATTTTTGCAGTATGGAGAATATCAGAAAATCCACGATTTGTGACTTAATATGCTTTCACAGAAGGAAACAAATAAACGAGTGTCTACCTTATCACCATAGTAATGTACTCGTGCAATTTTCATGCATCTAAAACATCGCCCATAAAGACGATAATGAATAAAAACTGAAAATTTTCATGCATTTCCAAATGGTTTCCTACCATTCCCATACATTCAAAGTGACTGGCCCTCTGGATGTGGATGATGTCAAAAACAACAAAACATGATTAATTGATTTTCCTTGCGTGTAAGATCCTCAACAACCCTCCTTTTTTTATTGTAAAGGCTCATCATCGGTGTATTAATCAGCAGATTAATCAAAGATGAATACTACATGAAACTGTCGGAAGAAAAACTTTCTCTTTTAGTGTCCTCTTTCACGGTTCCTTTCATCCAATGAATACTCCCGGATTCAAGGTAATTTTGTGGTTTTGCTGCCCCCTCGGTAGATATGAAATTTTGCGTTAATTTTTTTCAAAACAATCACACTAAAATCAGAGATGTCCCATTTTTTAATTACTCGATTAGTTGTTAATCGATTATTTTTTGTTCGCTGTGCTGCCATTTTTCCACCAATGAGAGTGCAGCACATGTTTGAAACGATCGGTGATGATCCTCTGGAGATGTTAATGCTTATACCGGCATGATGTAACCGATTACAAATATTTTACTTTTCGGTTCGTTAATCGATTAATCAATTATTCGAATGAAAATCAGGCATCACTAGATGAATTTGAAACGTCATTTTAAATATGAAATGCGTACATTAATAATGATACTATTTGAAAGGGACCGGGGCTAATCACAAATTACGTCCCCACGGTAACTGCAATAAACACGAG